GCTCTATTGCTGAAGATGGAGTATTAATCAAGAAATCTACTTTTGAAGATGGGACAAACCTGGCCAAGGGAACTAATAACAATCATAATTGTCATCAAACCACAGCACCAGATCTTCAAGTATAGAGGTTTGTGTCTGACCCTTTTTGCCACCGGTGCATTGAAATGAACCGATTGAACTTTAGTGGGATATGCATCATGATTGTGCACTTATCTGAATGAAGTAACTCATTGTCGTCGTATCATAGACAGAAGATTGGGATTTGATAATGATTTCTGTGCATCCACATTATAACTTGATTCACAAAAGAATTATTCCAAGTTCCGTGTGGGAAATTGGGTGAAGCAAATTTGAACTTCCTAGATTCTTTCTTACTCTGTTACTCGCCGAGTTTATTGATAATCATCCAAATGCTCCATTCTTCTTTTCTCTACCAACGACATTACTTGTTCTTCTACAGGTTTTGCTGCAGAATATCTTTTGCTTAAATATTTTGAATCATATACGAAGGATAGCTTGTTCCTGTGATTGCACTAGTTGGTAGCTGCCGGGCTTCGAAGGGCTGTAATTTCATAAAGGTTGAATGCTAGCTTATCAATGCTGCTTTTGCTGGAAAAAGGAACAGAAACTGATCGTACACTTTCATCTGTTCATTAAAAAAATACCGACTTAAAGTGTTGTTGCAAGTTGTAAAGGTGACATTTTGTAATAATCCAGATACCTACAGACGAGCGAGGTATCTGTGAAGGTAAAATTGTTAAGATCTTTCTTTTTCCCTGATAGGCTTGTTTTCTCTCTTTTCATTTTTGTGAAGACAGATTGGATTTTACGAGTTGTAGAGGTTTGGAACCAAAGTTCTCATTTCTAGAAGTTGTAGTATGATTCCTTCACTCTTCCTCTCTTCGTGAGCACGAGCCCTGCATGTCTGAACTGAAGAAGCTGAGATCATAGTAGTAATTTTAATCCTAGTTATAAGACACGATCTGGTTTAATACTAGGTTGCGAGTTGGGTTTAAAATTAGATCATGAGTTGGATGAGTTAAAATCAAAACGAGGGCCGTGGAATAAGATTTCAGTTTCTCATTTGATTCCCAACTTGAAAATGCATTTTGAAAGGTTCCAAAGCTACCGCATTGCCAAAAGCAAAAGCTCCAACTTGAAAATGCATTTTGAAAGGTTCCGAAGCTACCGCATTGCCAAAAGCAAGTAAACCAATAATGGGCCTAGAGCTTGGTTGATAACTGTTTAACTACCAAGTAAACATAGAGGAAAGAGGAAAAAAATCAAAGGAACTCGTTAACAAGAATTTTATGTGGTGAAATACAGGCCACAAGCCATGGTACAAATGGCATTATCATCATGACCACTCAAACACGCCTCTAAGAATCTGACACGTGTCAATTTCCCATTTAGATTCATAGATTTCGTTGGATGAGATTGAATCTCCTGTCAACCAATTAGAAATCACATGTCCTATCCTTGTTCTTCTAGTCTCTGCTTCCCCCGCTTGAAAGCTCATTGCTTTCCACCACCATTGCCACTTCAAAGCAAGAACGTTTCTCCAAGAAAAAATGGCTGCAGAGATGGCTTTGGTAAAACCTATCTCCAAATTTAGCTCCACACCGAAATTTGGAAACCCAAGAAGTTTCTCATACCCCAAATTCAGTACCATCAAGATGTCAGCTTCTGCACAAACAACAAGAAGTCCAAGTCCAAAGAAGAAAGGTAACAAAGGTGAAATCAAAGAGACCCTTTTGGCACCTAGGTTCTACACCACTGATTTTGATGAAATGGAGACCCTTTTCAATACTGAGATTAACAAGAACTTGAACCAGTCTGAGTTTGAAGCACTTCTGCAAGAATTCAAGACTGACTACAACCAGACTCACTTTGTGAGAAACAAGGAGTTCAAGGAAGCAGCTGACAAGATGCAAGGACCACTGAGACAGATTTTTGTTGAGTTCTTGGAGAGGTCTTGCACCGCTGAGTTCTCTGGCTTCCTTCTCTACAAAGAGCTTGGAAGGAGACTCAAGGTATTCCTCTAGGATCACTTTAATTTCTTGCTTGTTTTCTTGTGTTTAGTGAAATTTGATTCCTTTTTTTCTATCATCAACTAACTAATCTTAACAATTGATGCTGTAGAAAACCAATCCAGTGGTAGCAGAGATTTTCTCCCTCATGTCCAGGGATGAAGCCAGGCATGCTGGGTGTGTGAAAATATTGGCTTCTTTTTCTCACATGTGAATCACTTTTCAAGAATGATTGAACCTTTGTATATACAATTGACCTTTTTTGGTGTTGCATGCAGATTTTTGAACAAGGGTTTGTCTGATTTCAATCTAGCCTTGGACTTGGGGTTCCTAACAAAGGCTAGGAAATACACATTTTTCAAGCCAAAGTTCATTTTCTATGCTACATATTTGTCTGAGAAAATTGGGTACTGGAGATACATAACAATTTACAGACATCTCAAGGAAAATCCTGACTACCAGTGTTATCCCATTTTCAAGTACTTTGAGAATTGGTGCCAGGATGAGAACAGACATGGTGATTTCTTCTCTGCATTGATGAAGGCTCAGCCTCAATTCCTCAACGATTGGAAGGCAAAGCTGTGGTCGCGTTTCTTTTGCCTATCGGTGACTTTCTTACACCAGATGCATTTTCATACCATATTTACATTATCTGTAATGTTTCTGTAAATGCTTATGTGTGTACAATGAACCATTGGTCACTAGATATTCTTGAATCCAAATACAATCAGGCAATCCCATCTTGTGTGCCTACTGAGAACAGACATGGTGATTTCTTCTCTGCATTGATGAAAGCACAACCTCAATTCCTCAACGATTGGAAGGCAAAGCTGTGGTCGCGTTTCTTTTGCCTATCGGTGACTTTCTTACACCAGATGCATTTTCATACCATATTTACATTATCTGTAATGTTTCTGTAAATGCTTATGTGTGTACAATGAACCATTGGTCACTATATATTCTTGAAAAATCTTATCCAAATACAATCAGGCAATCCCATCTAGTGTGCCTAAAATTGTTTTAGGTTTAATAATTGGGTTGCTTGTTAACCATTCAACCGAAGTACTGGCCTTGAAACGTAAGGCTAATGCAAGGATTATCTCATGTCTATTTCCTGTCTTCTTAAATCCTAGAGAATTGATTCTGCAGGTATATGTGACAATGTACCTTAACGATTGCCAGCGAACTGCTTTCTATGAAGGCATTGGGCTCAACACCAAAGAATTTGACATGCATGTGATTATTGAGGTGAGGCTAATGGTTTTACCTGTCTGCTTTGCACATAGTTCTAATCTGAGTATTTTTTGTCATCTACTTCTATATCCATGCTGAATTATTGATCATATGCAATCTTCCTTAGGATGGTATCGTATCGCTTTGCTTGGTTCGCTCATACCCCAATGTCATGTTTCATTTGATGCAATGTTAATTCTCCTTTTGCTTGCCTAGATGACCTTGAGAAGGGGATAACGAATTTATAGCCTAGACTAATGTATATACACTTCTGACTCCTAGATTTTCAATAATCATTGCATTGTTTCTCATTATACAGACAAACCGCACAACAGCTAGAATCTTTCCAGCTGTGCTGGATGTTGAGAACCCAGAGTTCAAGAGGAAGTTGGACAGAATGGTGGAAATTAACCAGAAGCTGATAGCTGTTAGTGAGAGCCAAGACAATTCCTTCGTCAAGAACTTCAAGAGAGTTCCCCTTATTGCAGCATTAGCTTCTGAGCTCTTGGCTGCATATCTAATGCCACCAATCGAGTCTGGATCTGTTGATTTCGCAGAGTTTGAATCACAACTTGTTTACTAATAAGTTTTGTCTGAGTTTCATTTACCCCCTTTCATCCCCAGCTTTGGTAGTCTTGATGCACTATGGCTAGATTTACAGTATGTAACAGAGGAAACATTCATATAAAATGGTGTCCTTTCGTAATGTAAATTAACATAATTTTAGTCCCCTTGAGACCACCTCCAT